TGCCACATCCCAGCGGACTGGGACAGGTCACGCCTTTGCCTACTGACTAAGCCTCAGAAGTCGCCGTGTGATCCTCGGGCGTTGAGACCGATTGCATTGCAGCATCCTATCACTAAAACTATCACTGGTATCTTAGCCTCAAAGGTGCAGGAAGCTAAGCCCGATGCCCATCGGCCCTGGCCCCTGTATGCTTACTTGCCGCAGCGAGGCACCTCGGACTGCCTGTTGACGATCTTTAACCACATTCGGAATGTGCGAAGCTCAGTCCAGCAGCATTGTAAGCGGTCTGGCCGCCAGTCCAGAGCCAAAGATCTTGAGGGAGGCCTGATGATCACGCTTGACTTGGCTAAGGCCTTTGATTCAGTGAGCAGGACACATGTGTCTGCAAGCGTCCGCATGCTTGAGCTTGAACCGGAACTTGAGCAGCTACTGCTTATGTTTTTGGCCGAAGGTTCTTATGAAATTTCGCATAAGGGGCATCATGGGGTTATTTCATGCTCAAAAGGGATCAAGCAAGGCTCGAAGGAAGCCCCCTACGAGTGGTGTCTTGCTTCGATTCTGCTGCTTAGTACGATTGCCAAAGTTAAGGGTCTCTCATGGGTACAGGAACACGTTGTAGTTTACGCTGATGATTTCATTTTGAAATGGAGTCTACACAGCGTCACAGACCTCCAACGGGCTTTGCAGGAGGCAGCCGAATTTATCTCTGCGCTGGAAGATTTTGGCCTTCAGGTTAGCACTGACAAGTCTGCTGCGCTTCTTGAGATCACTGGGGGAGGCAGAGCCCATGTTCATCAGCGATTTGTCCGAAAGAAGCAGTCCAAAAGACATCTAGTTTGCAAATGTTCCCAGGCTGTGACTTCCCCAGACCTTGGCCACGACTCCTACACTAGCAAAGTGTACTGGCTTCCAATTGTCACTAAGTTTAACTACCTTGGAGCGACAATCGGATACAAGCAGCCTGAAAGGGACACTCTGGATCGCAGGATTGCTGCTGCGCAGCATGCGTTCAACAGGCTGCGACCTGTTCTACACGCGTATCGCACGCATAGCCTGCGAGCCCGGGTGCAGCTATACTTTGCAACGATTTGGCCCACAGTCACATTCGGTATACTGGAGGCCGGAATCCAACAGCAAGGAGCCCGAAAAGTTCATGGCATGGTAATGAGGCACCTTCGTAGCATCAGTCGTAGCCCTGTGCACGTTACTCACGAAAGCAATCTGGCACTTCTGAGTAGGTTGCAGCTGCAAGCTCCCTTAGACAAGCTATGTGGTCTGTGGAAGAGCAAAGTCCAGGCCTGGCATACACGTCAAAACAATTTACCGATCGATGACATTTGCAAGCAGGTGCCCCCGTATCCTGATCCTACTGCAGCCCTGACAGGAGCTCAGCGGTCTGTGAGCGTGGGCGTGGGATAGACACCGAGTGAGCCCGCCCTGCTGCCATGTGAGAAGTGTCATGAGAAGTTCCAGAGCCTGCCAGAGCTCAAGCGACACCAAAGGCAGGCTCACGAGCAGGGCCCTCGTGAATTTCAACCTGACCTATTTGTCCAGGCGCGGGATGCCGTGCCAGGTACATGGAACTGTGCACATTGCGGCTGCATTCTGCAGGATCGCCGATCCCTCCGCTCGCACATTGGCTTCCAAGCATGCCCGCGGTTTGATCCGACTAAGGGGGAAGAGCAGGGAGGCATCCTGTATCAGGATGATGTCAGACAATTGAAGCTGGCTGATAGGCTTGAGGAGTTGCTTAAGGACCCGACTAGGTGCAAGTACATGACCCAGCACTGTGTCGTCTGTGCTGCTCAGATACCCTATCCGAACCGCATCAGGCAGCACATTAGCAAGTATCATCCTCAGCTCTACCCCAAAGCTGACTCTCGAGCTCAGCATCTGCATGCATCCTTCAAAGGCCGCAATCAAGCGCAAAAATGCAGCAACTGTCAGGCCTTCCTGCAAAGAGGGTTAGCCGGACACAGTTGTCCCGTCTTGCTTCAGCTCGCAGTTCTCATGACGGCCCCTGTGGAACCTGATCCTCCCAGGCCTGAACCGGCACAGATCCAGCCTCTGAGCATTCAAGCCCCTCCGCATGCGACTCCTTGTTCTAGGGTTCTTAAGGCTTCTGACTTGGCAGTGAAGACATGTCCCAGCATGACTGCCGCGCACCGCTTGGGAGTGTGCTCCAAGGCCTCTGCTGAGACCAACTCCAGCTCTTCTGGCCCTCTTGGTACTCAAGAGGCCCCACAACCCAGCAACCTGATGCAACAGGCTGTTTCGTGTGACAGGGGTGCACCTTTGCCGGAAGATATGACTCTTCCAAAGCCCTTGCAGGCACTCATGGACGATGAAAGAAGAGCGGATCCGGAGCCTCAGCCGAAAGTTCGCAAACTTGCTCCTTCCAGAAAGAAGACTCAGTTGCCATCCAGTGCGCACTTGCTTGACACCCCAGGGTATCGGCAGGCCACTTTGAACAAGTTTGCTGTGCCTTCCTCTCAAGCACCAAAGCCTTGCCCGCTTGTGCAGTTGGACTCCTTCGGATTTGAACATGACCGCAGAAGGGGAGGACCAACCCCACACCGACCTGATGGAGGTCATGGAGGGCATGCTGCCCAGCCACAAACGGTCGATCGAGGAGGACGCTCCAGCGACACACTCGAAGCTTGCGCGCGGGAAGGGCAAGGGGCATGGCAAGCCTTCAAAGAAGGCCAAAGATCTGGGCCACTCGGAGGAACTACTCCACATGATTGCTCGCCTCCTCATATCGCACGAGGATACCCTCCTAGCCATACTTCAGGAGTCGGAATTTATGCTATTCATGCAGGCCAACGGAGCGGGGAGCTTGGGTCCCACCATGTTGGCCCTGTCGCAGAAGTGGCATGCTCTGACGGCGACCGAAGCTACTCCCAAGACTCCACTACGTGTGGTGATGGGGGCTGCGGTGTTCAAGGAGTTGGAGCTGCGGGTGTTGAAGGCTATGGGCGAAGACGAGGAAGGAGCCCACATTCGCAAGAAGCTGATGACCCAGAACCTTCTAACAGCAGATGGGAAATCGTGGAACTACATGAAGTGGAACCAAGAACAGGGCAAGCTCTTGCCGACCAAGGAGGCCCCCCTACCAATGTGCGAAGCTTGTCAGATGCTCAACCGCGTGTACGCTCTGATCCAAACCCCGGGCTTGATACTCCGATTTTGTGCCCTGAAAGCATTGAAGCGGGTGGACATGGACAGCACCTCCTCCAAGTACGCCATCGTTCCTTGGAAACTTACTGTTTCCATGCGCAGCCCTCAGGCGGCCGAGCTCTTTCAGGCCTTGAACAGGCTGAGCCACAATGCGGTCATGCAAGTGATCTTATCGCGACTCAGACCAGGCAACCTGCAGAGGTCCCCGCTTGCTCAAACAATAGCAAAGCAGATCTTCAGGGACTGAGGGCGAGTGAGGACCATAGAAGCATCAAGAGTGATGCGGCTCTGCAACTTGCAGTTCTAGGCTGGAGGTGGGAAAATCCAGGTTGGAACTTGTGTTACGCGCATGCTAGTGTCAATGCTATGTCATGGTGCTGTTGTTTCACAACCTGGAATGGGGCTCTTACTGCGGATGCGAATGCGTGGCTATGGCAAGTGGCCCGCAATACCAGTAACAGCTCTACGCACACTTTGCTTCAATGTCTTCCAAGCTGTCAGTTTGCCCGGGCCTGGTGGCATGAGCATCCCCTTGGCATGCAGCAGGATGCTGCTGAGTTCACAACCCTTTATCTCGCAGCTGTGTGCGGGATGACCTCGGGAGTAGCAGAGGGGAGACAAGTTCAGCAAAGCCACGCAGTGTGTGATGTGCACCGCATGCTACTGCTGCAAGTGCCCTCCCGCCATGAAAGCTGGTTGCTGCAGGAGATCTTAGACGAATGGCACCTGCAGCACGGGCCCTTGCAGGCATTGACCGCGCCTGTGCAGCACTTGTGCCTTCGCCTTGATACTTGCAATGCTAGGGGGGTAAAAAGCACGCAGAGCATCGTCATTGGCGAAAAACTCTTGTTACCTTGCTTTGCCTCTGCTACGGATGCCTCGTCGCAAAATGCGGCCTTGGATGCCAGGAGCCTGACGCCGCCAGATCAGCACGTGCTCTGGCACGAGTACACGGTGAGGGCAGTAGTGCAGCATCATGGCCCAAGCTACAGGGCTGGCCACTACACGGCCATTCTGATTCAAGACTTTCCCAAGGCTCTGCGCTTGGATGATGCTTGTACGCCGCAATCAATATCAGACATTCGCCAGGTTACTCATGACCACTACTTGGTATGGGTGTCGTTGGACTCCACTGAGGCGACCTCAGGATGTGCCAACCAAACAGCTGAGTCCACTGAAAATACTGGTATGGAAGATGTGATTACAGTGCGTTCGCGTTCGCCCTCACCTCAGGCGATGTCAAGCACCAGCGTCACCGAATGCCTGGGCCCTGCTTCCCCACCCATCATGCCAAGTAGGGCCTGGCCGCCTTGCATCGAGTCGCCTCCGCTTCCAGACACTTCAGTTAAGGCCAATGATAAGGTTTTGACGTCGCTCCCTGAGCTTTGCACTCGTGGAGTGCCCCGCACATTTGCAGAGGCACTGCTTAAGAAGTCAACTGAGAGTGAGACCGGCGTAGATTCCACTGAGGCTTTGATTGATGAAAGTACTAGCGCTGTCATTGGCTCGCTGTTCGGATGATGTTTGTGCGGGGGGGGGGGGGGGCTCTCCGTTTGTCTGTGTGTTCTTACTTCTAGGATGCTGGAAACGATGTTGTGGCTTGAAGCCTCTTCGGAGGAGCCACTCGGTCGTAAGCAGCGTTTTGCTTGTACAGTTAAGACTGCTCCTCGCAAGCAGCCGGGCATATATCGCTCGCTTTTCACTGGTCTGACGCAAGATAGAGGACTCTCATCTGCGTGCAAAGTCAAAAAAAAAAGTTTTATGGCGCCCTTTCCTTCAACCAACCAATCAATTCGTGGAACACCTCCGCTGTGAAAGACATGAGCTACATGTTCTATGTTGCGGTTCTCTTCAATCAGCCGATCGGGTACTGGAACACATCAGCCGTGACAAGCATGTGCTCAATGTTTTACTTCTCGGCTGCCTTCAACCAACCCATTGGCTTGTGGAATGCTTCGAGTGTCAGGGACACGAGCTTTATGTTCTTTGGCGCCAGTGCTTTCGACCAACCAGTTGGCTTATGGGACATGTCGTCAGTAGCCGACATGCGATCTATGTTCAGAGGTGCCACAGCTTTCAATCACGAAGTTGGGTCGTGGAATACGGCAGCCGTGAGAGACATGAGCCACATGTTCAACAGTGCCAGTGCCTTTAACCGGTCGATTGCTTCGTGGAATACATCGCGCGTGCGGAACATGAGCTCCATGTTCCTGGGAGCAGCGGCATTTAATCAGCCCATTGGCTCATGGAACACATCCGCTGTAGAAGACCTGAGTCACATGTTCTCAGAGGCGGTCATATTTGACCAGCCCATTGGCTCGTGGAACATCAAAGCTGTGGATTTGAGTTACATGTTCTTTGGAGCTACGGCTTTCAATCATCCGATTGGAATGTGGAACACATCGCGAGTGACTGACATGCAGCATATGTTCCATGGTGCAAACGTATTCAACGTACCCCTTGGCTCATGGGATACTGGTGCTGTGAAGAATATGAGGTCAATGTTTCAATACGCAGCCGCCTTCAACCAACCGCTCGGAGGTTGGAACACTTCCTTGGTCCAGGACATGAGCCACATGTTCAGCAATGCGAAAGCCTTTAACAGAAGCTTGACCTCATTGGACACGGCATCGTTAATTGCCAAAACGTCCATGTTTGAGGGCACAAGCTCCTTCGACGCGCCACCTTGCCGCGCCGGGTTTGCTCCCGCTGCGAACGGTCTGGGCTGCCAGGCGTGCGCCGCCGGTCGCTACGCAGCGGCCGGGGCCTCTGCCTGCCAAGCTTGTCCGGCAGGCACGGCCCCCACGAAGGAGCGTGGCACATGCTTGGAGTGTCCTGCTTTCGAATATTCCCCGGGCGGGACGTTAACTTGCCACGCCTGCCATTTGCCGCTGATGGTGGTGGACAATCAGTGCGCTTGGTGGCATTTGCCGCTGCTGGCCGTGGGGATTGCGAGCGCCGTGGTGGCGGCACGGCTCGTGGCTGCACGAGTACGCGCCCGCAGAGCTTCCCAGATCGAGACGCGCATGAAGATGCTGTATGACGACTTGTGGGAGGATCTGCCCGGCAACTTAGCAAAGTCATAAGCAGGTCTTTAGACCTAAGCTTTGCGGCTTCCGGAGTGGTACACCTCTTTCAATTGTGGAAGTATCGTTCATATGTGCATGTTGCAGGCACGATTCAGCAGCATGCGACGAAGCTCCAACATCTTGGGGTGGATCCTGCTGCGTTCGAGTGTGACATCGCATCCATGAGAGCCTTGCAGAGCGAGCGCGCCGGCGTTAGCATGCGCTACCTGCTTTCAAGCGAGTTCATGGAGCTGGCGACCAAGCGGACCGGTAAAGGCAACGGGGCAGAAGGCTTAGGGCCAGGGCTAGAAGATAAGTAGACCACGACGCTAGAGCTTGGCACTCTGAGGCAACCCCTCCTTCATCGATATGAAGACAGCCTTCTGGCTGCGCGAGGATCCTGTTGGGCAGGATGTGGTATGCCCTCGCGATGGGAGACCAGGCGCGGAAGCTCAGTCCGGAATCTCAATTCTTGGAAAAAGCCCATCCCATGCAGAAAAAAACAGCTTCCTGGGACTTGCAAAGGATTGTTGAGTGTCTTCCACTAGGTGCCGAAAAGGGCAACGCAAGCTAAGCATCCGTTGCAGGCTGCGCTCTTGTGGACTGGATTCCGCGAAGCGACCGCCGAGAGCAGACGCATTTCATGTCCTGGATGGGCTTGGCTTGAAACGGAACATAGATACTGGGCGTAGTGTGAAGATGTCTGCTTCAGCACGTGTCACCAGCATCTCTGCGTGAGGACCTGGCGCTACAGCATGACGGAGATGAGCCGCTCGGCGCAACGTTAATGTGGTCTCAGCCGTTTCTTGCAAGCGGCACAGCAGAACCCGTGGTGTGCTCTCATGCTCGGACCCGATAGTAAGGAAGTGCGCTGGAGATGTTCAGGCAAAGCTCTCTAGAAGTGCCCGAGAGCGTCTTCTTCTTCATGTGCTTCTTCGTGAACAATCAGCACCGCATCATCGTCGAGGAGTCCGTTGCAGGAAGTGACAATCTCGAGGAGGTCTTCGAAAGCAACCTCCGACGCATCGGGCGCATGGTGGCCATTCTGGATACTTGGGAGGAGCCTGTCCCTGGGCTCCCGAGAAGTAGCCGCAGTTTTGTTCAAGAGTCTTGTGTTGGGCTCAAGCTTTGAGAGCAGTCTGCGGTCGTCTTATCTGACAGATCAACAGCATCTAGGTCTACTTGACCCGAATCTGGACCATCTACGAGCAGTTCGTGGCGTCGACGCTCCAGATCCAGGTCGTGTTCGTGATGCCTGAGGAGTCAGTGAGGTTTCTGCAGCAGCAAATCTACTGCGGCAAGTCAGGCGGGACATGCGCAGCACAACCTTCTCATATAGAGCTTGTGCATTTCTGGACCCTGCGAACCTCTGAGCCTGAAGGCTTGTAACTCAGTGCACCTCCAGATCCCTTCTCTCTGCCTCCACATTCGTGTTTGTATCACTACTACAAAAGTTTTTTGGGGACCTCCTTTACGCTTCGGGCAGCCTCCTGTGCTCATGACAGGCGTTGACAACATCACAGCTTGTGTCCGGCGCGTGGATTCTGCACGAGCCGGTGCTTGGAAGAAGGAAGACGAAGACAAGGTGAAGAGCATGATTCAGGACACCGTAGCCCGGCGCCGATGGCCCTTCCTTGCGTCGAATGTCGTGTTTTGTAGTCATGGGTGGTCAGTGCTGGTCATTGCTTTCTCGGGCCTCTTTTTCTGCTTACAGCCCCCTCGCGTGGCCTTTTTGAGGTCGGCTTCGAGTTCGTGGATCGTCACGTGACGGAGGTGATGGTGCAGTGGATTGGCGGCGTGGTGGAGGCGACGTTTCATCAACTCCTCGACGCGGCGTGCGCAGCTTGCGACAGCTGTGACGCCTCAGAGTCCTTACGCTCCTTGCATCCCTCTGCACGCAAGGAGCTCGTGCGTGCCACATCCTTCTGACACAAAAGCTCACCCTGCATGAGTTTTGTTTTTCGCAGCATGGATGGGAAGAGCGATTCTTTTCGTTTAAGCGCTGGCCGAGCTGCATCCGGCAAGCGGAGCTTATGCCAACAGCGCCGCCGCCCCCTTCCACTTTCCTGCCCCTGCCACAAGTGCACGCAAAAAAGGCCGAACGTTTTTGGAGTAGTCAAGAGTTGTTCCGTAAAGGGCGGTTGGGGAAGGAGGGATCCCAGCTGTAACGTCGCAGTTCTGCCGCACTTCGACACGGACTGACAGCACTTGCCGTCACAGCTCCCACGGTTTGTTGCTTTGCAGAGTGCTGGCAGCTAGGTTCAAAACCTGATGGGAGCCTCGAACCCGAATCCATTCCTAATCACTCATCATTCCCCATCATTGGCTACGAGTACCCGGCGGGGGGGGGGGGTGGGCGGCGGGGTCCAACAAATAGAGCAAGCTCTGCCGTTGCCGTTTGGCAGAGTAGGAAAGGAGTAGATAGGCTACTTATGATTGTCGAAGGGAGCTCACAGTTTCTGGAGGTCTTCTCGTGGGCACGACAAGCATATGTCGACTGGCAGGAAAACATGCACGCGCGAACGATGTGAGACATCACGTGGTGTGACACTTCACTCGCTACTCCTTCTAGTTAGGAGCCGCCCCGTGGCTCTTTTTTTTTGTGTTGTTCCTTTTACGGGGTCTTTGTTCTTTTCTTTTCGCCCAGTGGCTTAAGGGGGGCTGATGCCCAGAGCCCGGCAGCAAGATATCTGAGCTTCAAAGAACCCTCAGATATGGCTTTGTCGTGCGTTGGGTTGAAGAACTCAGGCTCCTTTGTGTAGGGCTTGCGCCAACTGCAGCGTCAGCCATCTTAGAAGACCTCCTCAATTCATCAAGGCGTTGCTTGCAGAATCATCAGAAGGCCGTAGGCCCAAAGCCCCTGTTTTGTTCCACCTCCATCGGAATCTGAAGGCATCTGCGGAACTTTGGGTACCCGAATCGGCAAGAGAGGCTGAGAGGTTTATCTGTTTCTTGAACCGAAACCAAGAGAGCATCCCAGGCGACCAAAACCTTAAACCCTAAACCCTAAATCCTAAACCCTAAACCGGTCACACCCATGATTCACCGCAGGCCTTGGCCCAGCAGGATGGCGTGTCGTCCCCTCGCGCTGCTCATAAGCGTTGCCTTGCCCTTGAGCGCGTCTTCTGAGACTCAACGCTTGCGCACCCAACGGGAGCTGCGCGCTGCAGTGGTGTCCTGGGAGCGTGGCAGTGCACTGGAAAGGCGCCGGGGCTTCTAAGCAGGACGAAAAGAGCCCAAATCGGCGCGCTCGCATAGAACAGAGCTGCACACAATACCCCGAAAGCATTGGTCAACTGCAAGAGTGACCCATGACATCATGTCAGCAGGTTGTGTACTTGCTTGGACAGAACATGTGGCACGACAGCGGAACCACTGCGAGAAACTGTTGACTGCTCACGAGGGACACTTTTCTCAACACCGCAGGATGCAGAAATCCTCCCTTGAGCAAGGCACCCGCCCCCTCCAAAACAAACGCGCATGAAGCATCAAGGCAAACCGTTTAGTTAAAGAGGCAATAGTCAAGCTGTGGGCAGAGGAAAAAGTAGGTCAGGGTAGTTGTGTTGGAGACCGTGTGGTTGAAGAGGCTGTCGGCAAAGGTCTCTGTGCAAGTAACATTTTTCCATATGCTGCCATCGGGGATGATCGTCATTGCGAGGTGGCATTTTTTGTTTTTAGGGGGGGGGGGGTGCAGGGACCTTGAGCAAGCGTAGGAAATCGTAGGACCGTATATTGGCCGATCCCAATCACCTAGTTGAGCAAAGCCGCTCACACAGTCACTGCGTCTCGACAATTACCGGTCCAACTGCGTGAGGGGGACAACGTCTCAGTGAGATGTGGAAGGACCCTGCCCAGGTGCAGAAACTTGCGGGGTCCTTAAGGGAGGGCGGCTCATGGGGGGTATGTCCTCAGGGAACCTAAACAAGCTTTTTGCAAATCGAAGCCAACCAAGCAACGCACTCCGCATTACTGAAGCGCTTGTGGAGATGGAGCGGAGAGCTCTTACATGGCCCATTGGGAAGCCAAGCCTGTTGAGAGGTCTGCCCTTCGTCAGCGGTATGGTGAGATTGCTGACTGGGATGTCAGAGAGATCACCAACATGAGTGGCATATTCAAAGATTTGCACAGCTTCAACGAAGACATCAGCCGTTGGAACACCTCCGCGGTCATAGACATGAGTTCAATGTTCGCATGGGCCCGCGCTTTTGACCAGGCGATAGGATCTTGGAACACGTCAGCTGTTCGGGACATGAGCTACATGTTCCGCAATGCTGAAGCCTTCAACCAGCCTGTCGGAACCTGGGATACATCTGGAGTCAAGGACATGTGCAGCTTGTTTTGGCGTGCAACTGCTTTCAACCAGCCACTTAGCGCTTGGGATACCTCAGCTGTACATGATATGAGCTCCATGTTTTATTCCGCTGCTGCTTTCAACCAGCCTATCGGTGAGTGGGATACATCAGCCGTGAAGGACATGAAGAATATGTTTTCAGCGGCCCGTGCATTTGACCAACCGATTGGTTCCTGGAACACATCATCTGTTAGGGACATGAGCTCTATGTTTGCAGGTGCTCACTCCTTCAATCAGGCGATTGGCTTATGGGACACTTCAGCAGTGAGGAGCATGGAATCCATGTTCCACAGCGCGGGCTCCTTCAACCAAGCACTCAGTGCATGGAACACCTCCGCAGTTCAAGATATGAGCTCGATGTTTGAAGATGCCAGGGCCTTTGATGAAGCACTCGGTTCTTGGACCACTTCAGCTCTTCAAGATGCAAATTCCATGTTCCGATATGCCGTCTCCTTCAACCAGCCCTTGAAACGCTGGGACACATCATCTCTTCAGGATATGAGCTGTATGTTTTGCCACGCTGCTCGCTTCAACGAATCGCTTGGACGTTGGGATACGTCATCGGTGAAGGACATGACATTCATGTTTCTGGAGGCGGCTGTTTTTAACCAACCAATTGGTTCCTGGAGCACATCATCTGTCAGGGACATGAACTCTATGTTCAAAGGTGCTGAATCCTTTAATCAGCCGATTGGCTCTTGGGACACCTCTGCTGTGACAAGTATGGAATCCATGTTTGAAGGTGCCAGCTCATTCAATCAGCCGCTGGGGTCGTGGAACATAACGTCATTGGTCAATGCAAGAGACATGTTCGAGGGCACAAGCTCCTTCGACGCGCCACCTTGCCGCGCCGGGTTTGCTCCCGCTGCGAACGGTCTGGGCTGCCAGGCTTGCGCCGCCGGTCGCTACGCAGCGGCCGGGGCCGCTGCCTGCCAAGCTTGTCCGGCAGGCACGGCCCCCACGAAGGAGCGTGGCACATGCCTGGAGTGTCCTGCTTTCGAATATTCCCCGGGCGGGACGTTAACTTGCCACGCCTGCCATTTGCCGCTGATGGTGGTGGACAATCAGTGCGCTTGGTGGCACTTGCCGCTGCTGGTGGTGGGGATTGCGAGCGCCGTGGTGGCGGCACGGCTCGTGGCTGTACGAGTACGCGCCCGCAGAGCTTCCCAGATCGAGACGCGCATGAAGATGCTGTATGACGACTTGTGGGAGGATCTGCCCGGCAACTTAGCAAAGTCATAAGCAGGTCTCTAGACCTAAGCTTTGCGGCTTCCGGAGTGCTACACCTCTTTCAATTGTGGAAGTATCGTTCATATGTGCATGTTGCAGGCACGATTCAGCAGCATGCGACGAAGCTCCAGCATCTTGGGGTGGATCCTGCTGCGTTCGAGCGTGACATCGCATCCATGAGAGCCTTGCAGAGCGAGCGCGCCGGCGTTAGCATGCGCTACCTGCTTTCAATCGAGTTCATGGAGCTGGCGACCAAGCGGACCGGTAAAGGCAACGGGGCAGAAGGCTAGCTTCGGGCTAGAAGATGTCAAAGTAGACCACGACGCTAGAGCTTGGCACTCTGAGGCAACCCTTCCTTCATCGATATGAAGACAGCCTTCTGGCTGCGCGAAGATCCTATTGGGCAGGATGTGGTATGCCCTCGCGATGGGAGACCAGGCGCGGGAACTCAGTCCGGAATCTCAAGAACAAGTCCGAACAGGATTCTGGGACCTGCAAAGGATTGTTGAGTGTCTTCCACTAGGTGCCGAAAAGGGCAACGCAAGCCTAAGCATCCGTTGCAGGCTGCGCTCTTGTGGACTGGCTTCCGCGAAGCGACCGTCGAGAGCAGACGCATTTCATGTCCTGGATGGGCTTGGCTTGAAACGGAATGTAGATACTGGGCGTAGTGTGAAGATGTCTGCTTCAGCACGGGTAACCAGCATCTCTGCGTGAGGACCTGGCGCTACAGCATGACGGAGATGAGCCGCTCGGCGCAACGTTAATGTGGTCTCAGCCGTTTCTTGCAAGCGGCACAGCAGAACCCGTGCGCTCTCATGCTCGGACCCGATAGTAAGGAAGTGCGCTGGAGATGTTCAGGCAAAGCTCTCTAGAAGTGCCCGAGAGCGTCTTCTTCTTCATGTGCTTCTTCGTGAACAATCAGCACCGCATCATCGTCGAGGAGTCGGTCGCTGGAAGTGACAATCTCGAGGAGGTCTTCGAAAGCAACCTCCGACGCATCGGGCGCATGGTGGCCATTCTGGATACTTGGGAGGAGCCTGTCCCTGGGCTCCCGAGAAGCAGCCGCAGTTTTGTTCAAGAGTCTTGTGTTGGGCTCAAGCTTTGAGAGCAGTCTGCTGTCGTCTTATCTGACAGATCAACAGCATCTAGGTCTACTTGACCCGAATCTGGACCATCTACGAGCAGTTCGTGGCGTCGACGCTCCAGATCCAGGTCGTGTTCGTGATGCCTGAGGAGTCAGTGAGGTTTCTGCAGCAGCAAATCTACTGCGGCAAGTCAGGCGGGACCAATTGGGGCCAATCCGATTTTTGTCGAGCATGGGTGGGTGCTGCCTTTCGAAGCCGAACTTATGTGTTGCAGTATTTTAAGTTGTCCTTGGCAAGAATGAAAGCAGCAATCCAAAACAAGTGGTGGCAGTTTCCGGAGCTTTTGGTAGAGCAATGAATCTGCGCCCTGGGTAGACTGTTGACCTGTTGACCCGCAATGTGGGCTTGAACTCGCTATGCACACAGATAAGTTGCAACAGGTCATGTTCAAAAGTGCTTGAGTCTGGTCAACATGCCACTGAGACATGGCAGGTGTGGATGAGGTCACTTCTTGCGTCAGCTGTGTGGACTCAGAGCGAGCCAGCGCCTGGAAGAAGGAGGACGAAGACAAGGTGAAAGCACTCATACGAAGTACGGTCACCTTGCTATCCTTGCTACAGAAATGCTTGTTGTCTTCCACGATAAAGCATAAGATGCTCTTGCTCATCCAATCGCACTGCAAAGTCGCTGACATGCGCCTGTGCGCTCAGGTTGGCTTCCAGCACCTGAACCGTCACGTTCGTGAGGTCATGATCCGATGGATCCGCGCGACGGTGCAGAAGCTCTTTCGTGATCGCTTGAACTCCCGCACGGCCTGCGCAGGGTGCGAGATCGTCCGCACGGAGGTGTTTTGAGAGATGGGCGCTCGGTGGTGTGGCCTCGTGTTCATGTACTCCACCAGGCAGGAGGTCCTTGTCGAAAGCCTGTATGGCATCATGCCCCAGATGTCGCCTGAGTCGACCTGGGAGCTTTCGCGAAGGCCTGGAGCCCTAAACCCTAAACCCTAAACCCTAAACCCTAAACCCTAAACCCTAAACCCTAAACCCTAAACCCTAAACCCTAAACCCTAAACCCTAAACCCTAAACCCTACACCCTAAACCCTAAACCCTAAACCCTGGAGGGGGGGGAAATTGTGATTGGCGTGGAATGGCGCAGCGATGCTTAGTGTGTGCATGTCTGGTTCTCTTGATGGTCTTTGCCTTCCGGAGAGGTGCGCCTGTGCTGCACGACTTCCTGGTGGCTCTTACTGGCCCAGCTACTGACTCATGCGCTGAGAGGCCTGCGGCGTGTCTTCGCTTTCGCTCGACCTTGTCGGCACCAACATGGGGGACTTGAGATACTGGTGGTTTGGCACGGGTGCCTTCCTCCTCACCCTCCCTCCTGGGTCTGCCAGATGTGGCGCCAGTTTTCTCTTTAAGGGTCGCTGCTGCTTTGTGTGCGCAATTGGGAGAAAATGTTTTGGGGGATGACTGCCTTCCGCTGTCATGCCAAAGTTGCACGGTTGTTTCGTTCCTGCGCTGCCCTCAGAAGCAGGGACAGTCCCCTTAGATGGAACGGCTGCTTGACCGTTCCGAAACGAGTGGCACGTGGCCAAGCATCAAGGCATCGGGCGTCGACTTGTTATGATTCCAGACATTCAGGCTTGAGTCGCTTGAGGTCAGTATGTGGGGGTTTCCGAAATATGGGGTACCTTATTGAGATCCTTCTGACAAGGGAATCCTAGTAACTGGCGATCTTAGGGTTCCCCGATTTTCGTAAACTCCGATCTTCAAGAAAGCGAGTTGCAGCCAAGCACAGCCTCTTAGTGCACATTCTCAGCTTACCCCGCATAAAGTGCTAAGAGAAAATCTGTCTGCCTGTCGTCATCGGCGGTTAGGTTGAGTTGTATTTGCTCCTTTAGAATCCACAATGCTCAATGCAGAGATTGAATACACAGCCGCTTTGTATGCACTTCTTTGTAGAAAGCCTGTCGAACTTTCGACCCTTGTCAGCGGGGTTATAGAATTCGGTTCTTGCGGGAAAGAGCCTTGTTGTGGAGGCGTTCAGGATCTACATCGATATGAGTTCAGTGAGTCCATCTTCTAGAAGCAGTAGTGCGATCTGAACAAGAACAGTCATGGCTGCCTCGCGCGTTAACACATAAGGAGGAGTCCAGAATGCATCTTGAGGACGGCCGAAGGCGAACCCCCCGAAGTCCACCGCCTCCTCCCCGAAATCCTTGAACCCTTCATCTCCTCTCGAGGAAACCCAGAACTCGGGTGCCCCAATTTGATAAAGAGCAACCCATGCACGTCTCCTGTGGCTTGGAGTGTTTCCAGCAAGCACTGGCTTCCTTTTCGCAGCCCTGCGCGAAGCCAACCATGGTGCGATGCACTCGTTGGGGGCCGGCGGTCGTGCCTGAGCTTGCAATGCGATGCCTTACCACTTCTAGGGAAGACCATTGGGTGGTGCAAGGATGTTCGTCCACGTGCAAAGTGACCAACATTTACAGCATCCCCAAGCCCGCAAGTTCGAAGTCTCCAGTCGAAAACCTCAAAGAAACAACATAAACCTGAAGCCCGGAACCTCTGGCACACCAATCGCCTATCATTGGCCCTATACACCATACTTGTGAAAGACTTTGGGTTAACACCCTGACCGGCAAACCCCAAACCCCAAACCCCAAACCCCAAACCCTAAACCCTAAACCCTAAACCCGGAACCCTGAACCCTAAACCCTCAACGCCAAAACCTAAACCCTAAACCCTAAACCCTAAACCCTAAACCCTAAACCCAAAACCCTAAACCCTAAACCCTGAACCGAGTCCAGCTACAAAAAAAACCTAAGCCCTCAACCCTGCCCGGCCTCAGGTGCTGGCGGCGCTCCTGCTTCTTGGACCCCCGCACCGTGCGTTCAGCCTGGGAAGCCTTGGCCTTGCACCGAGCCGCCAGAAGGCACTCCGCTCCGTCTCTTGAGTTCCTTCTGGGCGGCCTTTTAGGGGGCGTTTGGGGGGTTTTTTAAGGGATTTAGGGGTTCAGGGTTCTTAGGGGCTTTCAGGGGTTTTGGCTTTCAGGGGGGCTTTTAGGCGCTTGTAGGGGTTTAGGGGTTTGGAGGCTTAGGAGTTTTTCAGGGGGCTTTCAGGGATTAAGGGGCTTCAAAAACTATTTCTGGCCCTGCTCTGACGCATGCGGAAGGCTTGGGTTCTTTTTTTCGTCCATGTCAGCCTCAGTGCAGCTGTGGGCTTGGGTTTGGAATGGTTTCGATAACATGCCCACACGTGATCTGCCACAGCTGAACAAAGCTTGGCAAACTCAGAAGCCCCCAGCTCCACGAAGCCCAACACCTGTTCCCAATTGTCCCACATGGGGGTTTCCCCAAATAAGGGTCCCCAAACATACCCCCAAAATAGTATAATTCTTGATTATATCCCAAAATAGTATAATTCTACATTGTAGGAGCCCCAAAAAGGGCGCCCCCCCATTTTCGGAAATCCGGCCCCAGGCCTACCGCGTCAGCAGAAAGAGCCAGACGGCAAAAACGGATCGCCCTCACGCCAATCCCTTTGGCGGCTTCGGCGGCCATCATCGGGAAGCTTGGCACCCCCTCCCTAAACCCTAAACCCTAAACCCTAAACCCTAAACCCTAAACCCTAAACCCTAAACCCTAAACCCTAAACCCTAAACCCTAAACCCTAAACCCTTTTTTGTTTTTTCGGCCCGGCTTCGGCCGGCCCTAGGGCTTCGGGATCAGCTATTAGGTATGAGGATTCTCCTTGGGGTTTCTTGTAGGGGTGCTTCAGGGGGCTGTGAGGGTTGAGATGTTAAGGGCCGCAAAGCCCCTGGTGTAATAATATTAATATTAATCATTATACACATATCCGTAAATCACCATTATAATAAAAATAAATTTGAGCATATTTTGAATAATATACATATGCCAAAGGAAGGACTCTTCACGGCGATGGTGGCGGCTCTTTCAACCTTGGTGATGTCTGCCATTCAAGCGGTGACGCAGACGCAGCTCTGGGTCCCGCCGTTTGGCGCCATCGCCCCTCTCTTCGCACGAAAGGGGGCCGGCTTCCCGAATTTTACTCCCGAAGCTTACTTTTGCCCGTACTTCTGCCTCAAGCACCGCCACTTAAAGAGGAAGCCTCGGGCTGTAGGCAAGAAGACATTGGCAAGCAATACTTTCATCTCAAGGTCCTGATGTTCGCAGCGGAAGCTGTGGCCGCAGCCAAAGCTGGAAAGATCCTGTGCAAGAGGACGACTTGGAAGTTCATGGTACTTAGTGACTCAGTCATAACCCTAGTCGGGTGCTTAAGGGGCTTGTAAGTGGGTTCTCGCTGCAATTTTTAGTTGGGTTACTAAGTACCCCGAACCTCCAAGCATGCAACGCAGAAGCACCCACATTGGTGAACTTTGCGGGTTCCCTCAGTGCCGCCCGCTCCGGTTGTATAGGGGCTGCAAACTTCACCGTGTAGAATCACCGTGAACCATGTAAACCCTAAACCCTAAATCCTAAACCCTCAGCCCTAAACCGTAAACCCTACACCTGAACTTTAAACCCTAAACCCTAAACCCTAAACCCCGAAGCCTAAACCCTAAAATCCTAAACCTCAAATCCTTCACCCCTTCACCGCGTAGAAGCCTGGGAGGACCATGTGGTCCCGCGCATTGAGGGCCTGCAGCGGCGTGACCGGTGGGCCGTAGTTGCAAGCTGGGAAGAGCTTTGAGGGTATCTTTATGGGCACATATATACAAAACACATAATAAATACATCCATACATAAATAAACAAATTTACGTATATATCTTCAAGACATTTTCTACTACAGTATATTCTATGATATATTGATATCCAGGCTCGTAGGCCAGATGCTGAAGTGTGCGCGAGCCTTTCGCTAGCGCTTAACGGAGATCTCATCTGGAAGCCTCGTTCGACAATCATCTTGCCCTGCTTGTTGGCAGTACGTGTAGGTTCGAGGGTACTTAGAAGTAGGGCTCGAAGTACAAGAAATACGGTTATAACCACAGTTACCCTAAACCCTAAACCCTAAACCCTAAACCCGAAACCCTAAACCCTAAACCCTAAACCCTAAACCCTAAACCCTAAACCCTAAACCCTAACACCATCTTGAGCCCCAACGGTCATTGAGGCGCCTGCCTCTTCACGGTTGGCATGTCTGAGTTGCTGGGCCACACGCCCACCACGTTGCGGGTGGTGGCGATGTTTGCGGCCGCCTTCTCCATGACGCTGAATCCAAGTGCGGGCTACTTCCCCCCAGCAGGTGGGTTTAGGGTTTAGGGTTTAGGGTTGAGGGTTTCGGGTTTAGGGTTGAGGGTTTTGGGGTTGAGGGTTAGGGTTTAGGGTTTAGGGTTTATAGAATTGTGCTGTCCAGGCGCCTTCTGCGCGCTCTACGTGGAGAAGGCTGTGTCTCATGGCCTGAGGCCAGGAGTTGGATTTGCGATCTTCCCCTGTGCTGTGGGGGTTGCCCTCCTCCTGGTCATCACTCGCCTGATCACGTTTTCCATGGCGCATCCACTCTGGAAACTGAAGAAATTGTACAAATCCAGCCGGAGGAACACCGTGGACGTCGATGCATGAGAATTCGTGCTTCAGTGCTGCCCCAGAGGCCCCAAGTGCTTCTTGGCACGCCGGAGCAAAAGCGTACAGAATGGCATTGCCCCCTTCAGGCAGCGGGGATGGGAACGCATGGACGCCACCCGCAAGCAGCCAGCCGTTGACTCGCAGCCCTGCCTGTGGAAGTCACTCGCAGCAGCTTTCGGGGCTTTGCACGAAAAAGGGCACCGCAGGAGCTCGGGGCGTGTGGAGATGTCGCGTTGGGGGGGGGGGGGTTTGGGGGGGGGGGGGGGGGCTTCGTTGTTACTTTTCAGCAATGTATCGTACTTGTTTCCAAATTCTACGTCATCGTTAGCTCATCGCTGGTGCAGGCAGCTTGTGTCTGCTTGGTCTGTTTGCTTGTTTGGGAATCTGGGATAGGCTGCCTGATTGCAGGCTCTGATTTTTGAAAAACAAATTGAATGCATACAAACGCTGCAGACACTGCGTTTCGTTGGGGCGAAGGGGGTCGCTAAGTGATCAACGCTGCAATGCAGGACGATATGCCGCAGGCAACGCACGAGCTTGTTGACAATGCCGACGCTGCGTCATGAGCCATTTCGGTTCTGCTGCGAGGTCCCACAGTGTGTGTCTGATGTTGTTGGTTCTCCTCCTAGGGATCACCGTAAACCCTAAACCCTAAACCCTACACCCTAAACCCTAAACCCTAAACATCCCTAAACCCTAAATCCTAAGCCCTAAACCCTAAACCCTAAACATTAACCCCTAAACCCTAAACCCTGATCCTCTGCGTTCATTGGGGGTTCATGTCTCCCCGGTAAGACGGTCGACTTTCTCCGGGCCCGCTGCAGCATCATGACGATCCAGGCCACCCTCTGCACACGTGGCCTTTGTTTTGTATTGCTGCCGTTCAAATGTCGAGCGCAGAGTGCTGAAGCAGAGATGCATCACTGCACACTGCCCTGGGTTTAGAGGCTAGGACTCAGGGTTTAGGTCAGCGGTTGTGCAGAACCCGGAATCATCACCTCACGTGCGCATCGCGTATCATCGGTTTTTCTTGCCTTGCCAGGCCTGCTTCAGAGGCTGCTGGGGCCTCTGGGGCCTCCTTGACGGCCTGCTCGTTCGGAGCTCAGCAAACGCGAAGCCCCAATCTGTGGTCCTTCCCAAGTCCTTCCCAAGTCTGCTGCCACAAGGAGGGCCGCAAAGAAGCCTACCAGCGCAAGCTGAAGGCCTGAGGAAGGGGTTTGGAGTTTGGGCATATTTGGGCGTTTGACGTTTGCAAATCGTGCAAAGTCAGCGTGCAGGCACGCCGTCGGGTGGCCGACTCAGCCATGTGTTTAGTCCAGTGCGGGAGCTAGCAAGTGAGTGCGTTCAGCGAGCGATTGAGCGAGAAAGTGAGTGCGCGAGCGAGTGTGTGAGTGATGTCAGTGAGGGAGCGAGGGTGTGAGTGAGTGAGTGCTCGTTGAGTGCGCTCATCGAATCATCGAGTGGCTGCAGCTGCGCAAGCGCAACCGGTGAGGGAGCAGGTGGCTGAGTGAGTGCGCTGGGCAGGGAAGTACGTTTGAGCACGGTACGTGCATGTGTTCGTGCACGCAGGGTGGAGTGCGTGGAGCCATTGAGCTCGCCCCCCCAAAATGCACAGATCAGACATTGACGGCCCCACTTATACTACACAAGAGGGACGGGGGAGGGTTGGCCCGAGGGCACCTTCGGCCTTTCCAGCGATCGCAGAACAAAGAAGAGGATGGAAGTATATATTTCGTACTGTCGTATTCCTCACGTGCAATAGCAAAAAGATGCAATTTCCCAGCGAGTATTGTTTGTTTCGCTAGCCTTTGCTCACGGCGTTACAAAGAAGCGAAGTCAATGCGTGAGATTCATCGAAAATCATGCCGGCTGGTGTTGGAGTGCTGTTTCTCGAGGCAAGCGCCTACAAGTCGATGGCGCAGGCTGGCCAAGTCGTTGGCCAAGTTGGTGTTTTTGGTCCTTTGCGCTCGCGAAGTTTCGAGCCAGGGTCGGTGATTTGGGCGGGCGTTTCAGGGACGAAGCACCCACTAAGGGCAGTGATTCAGGTTACGCCCCGGACAACAAAAACTCCTAAACCCTAAACCCTAAATCCTAAACCCTAAACAACCCTAAACCCTAAACCCTAAACCCCTAAACCCTCCTACAGGACCACGGAGGTTGCATCGTCAGGCAAAGTGTTCCTTTTCATTGTTCGGGCAGGGGGTCTCTCTCATGCTTTGGGACCCCTGACGGGATCAAGCCCCTAAACCTTAAGCCCTACACCCTAAAGCCTAATCCCTGAACCCTGAACCCTAAAACCTTAAACCCCAAACCCTAAACCCTAAGCTCTCAACCCTCAACCCTCAACCCTCAACCCTCAACCCTCAACCCTAAACCCTGAACCCTCAACCCTCAACCCTCAACCCTCAACCCTCAACCCTAAACCCTGAACCCTAAACCCTAAACCCTAAACCCCAAACCCTAAACCCTAAACCCTAACAGTGCGAGGCTGGGGCAAGTCCCGAGGAGCGATTCAAGGAGCCTCGATTTCTTTGCCACAGCTCATATGGCTATTTCAGACGTCTAGAAATGTTAGGGTTTAGGGTTTAGGGTTTAGGGTTTAGGGTTCATTTCAGGGTGTAGGGAAGAGAGTTGACGGCAGGAAGCCCTGGTGCGCTACCGCGAGCGCTATAACTCGACGCCGGACGCAGCTGCTCGCCTTCATCTGTTGTAAGTTATGGGGTTTCGGGTTTAGGGTTTAGGGTTTAGGGTTTAGGGACCAGATGCGGGAGAACAGCTGCGCGTGTGGGGTTTCGGGTTGGACTGGCTTCCGGGTGAAAGCCCTGCCTTGGATGCGCGCTGCCTTCTGTCTGCCTTCCGTGTGCCGTCGCTGAGACGCAGCTGGCCACCTTCGCCAGAAACGTCGGCCTGCAGCTTCCCTTTGCGCTCGCACGCGACCTGCTCCGAGAGGTTCCTTGGCTTCAGCTTGGGCGCTTTCACGCCTGGCGGTTGCATTTTGGTGCATTTTGGCAACTCTGCTTTCAATTCACTTGCATCCACGGATTTGAAAAGGAAGTACGAAAATCATGCGATCGTGCTTTGCCCTAGAGTGTGCAGCAGTGCAACATATCGTGTGGAGCAGGCGGCATCCACCTCGCCCAAGAAGGAGGAGAAGGCTTGATCCAACCACAAGATGGCAGTGAGGGTTCCTTCCAACTAATGCCAGGGCATGGGCCATGATTCCACTGAGTAGGCGTTGGGGTTCTGAGTCACTTGCAAGATCCAGGGGTCCGAAGCATGCGAATTTGCGGTAGGTTAGATGTGCGTCTTTCGAGGCTACCCGGAAAGTGGAGTTGAGATTAAGGGGTGACGCTGGAATCGCTGGAGCCCTCGACCCCCAGCCTCCGGCTGCCTGCTTCCTAAACACACCACGGCCTCGAACTTCGAGAGCTTAGCCGCCTTAGCCCTAAACCCTTAAAGCCGAAACTCTATAGAACCGAAGCCCCGAGCCGCACAGGTCCAACTTTCCGAGCTCCGCGCCCAGCGAACAGCTCTGCAGGTCTGCGTCCCAGGAGATTCCAGGAGTCCAGCGCTCGTTCTTGCAATGAAGCCAGGTACGAATGGGCACCCTTCGCCAGGAGCTCTTTGCAATGCTTGCCCAGGACAGAGCTGTCAACCCCTCAACCCTAAACCCTAAACCCTAAACCCTAGACAGGAAGCCGAACTCTGCCGTTTGCGTGGCGAGGCCCGACCGGAGCCATCGCGCAAGCTGGGTTTAGGGTTTAGGATTTGGGGTTTAGCTACTTGAGCACTGTAGGGATCTGTAGGGCATGAGGCTCCTTGGAGTTGTGGAGACGGGGTTCGAGTCTCGAGGGTTTGGGGACACATGCCGTGACACTCAGCGGTACATTCTAGGTACCACCTCGGGCGCTTCCCCAAGCCTAGCGCCCCCGAAAAACTAAACATGCACCCAAGTCTTGGCGATCTCAATATCCCTGAAAAGACACGGGCCCCCTTCGCTCTCGAACCTGAAGCCCTAAACTGAATGCTTGAAGCCCCTTGGCTTGCATGAGGCCGAGGGCAACCAGCCATCCAGCTCCAGCTGCTCAAGCTCCCAGTGCCCCAAGCCCAGTGTCTTAGGGCATCTTAGGGAACGTGTGTAACCGTTGTTTAATCGCCCGTTTCGCGCCTCGTTGCCCATCATCTGCGCAAGCCTGTGTACAGGCTGGAGTCTCGTGTCGGCCCTTTCTCCATAAAGGGGCTTTGAAGCAAAGCTTGCTCGACGTGGGTCGTGCGCGCAGGCGTGATCCACGGAGCCGAAGAGGAAGAGGACAAGGAAGGGTACGTGCCAACCTCAGTGCACTGGACTTGCCCAGCAAGGGCATGGTTGAACCAAGCTACGTTCAGAGTTTCTGCGTTCTGCATGAGGGTTCGGGGTGCCGTCAGCATGGCCGTGCAGAGCGACCCAAGTACCCAGCGACTTGCATTTAAGGACTCAGTTTACGGCTTAGGCTGGGGTTCTACCTTCACTGTTGGAGACGTTTTACGATAGGTCTAGGCCGTCCTGCACGAGCCGCAGACCTATGCAGATACAAGACCACAATAGGCGACTGAATGGTTTTGAGGGAACCTGGGCTTCAAGGGTTTCGGAGTTTTTCGGGCTTCGCAGCGCAAAGCTACAGGACATCGAGTTTGCGTATGACTTGGGCCTGGATTTGTCCACGCGGATGTCCGTGCCGCGTCCAGGAACCCAGCTTCGGGGGCCCAAGGCATCGTAGAAAATGCTTAACTTTGTCCAGGGTTGAAGGTTTGGGGCTTTGGGCGGCCAGTGCGGCTAAATCCTATATGTAATTGTATGCGTGTGCGTCGCGTGGTTACTTGTTTGCCTGCCCGCACTGGGGAAACCGCCGGACACCGATGGCGGAGCAAAGTGCAGCATGTATGTGGCCACCATACCACGACACACATCGCTGAATCCCGTCCTATTCTGGGTTGCATTCCTGAGCGAGTGCAGGTAG